ACTGGCACACTGCTGGCTTGTACTAATGCAGTTTCTTATTCTAATCCCACCCCAAGAGATTGAATAGACAATGTGTGTGTGTGTTATGGATTGACTTGTTATCTCCCCAAGAGTCATATGAAGTCATGAAGTCCTAACCCCAGGTACCTCAGAATGTGACCTTGTTTGGAAACAGAGCCACTGAAGATGTAATTAGTTAAGATGAGGTCATGCCTGAGTATGATGGGTCCCTTACCAATACGACTTGTGTTAAAGTGGGCTCTAATCCAGTGTGACTGGTGTCCTTATAGAACGGGACACATAGACACAAGCGTGCACACAGAACGCCCAGTGAACATGAGGGCGGAGTCGGGTGATGAATCTGCAAGCCAAGGAATGCCAGCATCCACCAGAAGCCAGAGGGGCATGAAGGGATTCTTCCCCCACCGCTCTCAGAACCAGCCCCACTGACACCTTCCGCTCAGCCTTCCAGCCCCTAGGACTGCGAGGTGACACACGCCTGCTGTTGAGGCTGTCCAGGCTGTGGGACTTTGTTGCGGCAGCCCTTGTGGACACATCCATAGGGGCTCTGGAGTGGATTTCACTGGCTGTGTGGTCCTGGCCTGCTGTGCCTACTCCCCAAGCCCTTCCTCTGGAACTGGAGCCCTGGTGTGTGCACTGCCCTAGTCCTGAACTCCCACTCACCTTAACCAGGGGCTCAGGTTTCTTGGGGGGGACTCTGCGTCTCAGTCTTTTTTCTCTCCGTCTTTGAACCAAGTTTTCCAAGTCAGCCAGATTATCCAGATTAACTCTGGAACTGCTAAATCTTTCCAGCTGGAGCAGAATGTGAGCAAAAAACAAGACCATGCCAGCCATCAGCCACTGGTCAAGAGACCTCTCTGCCCTGCCGACAGGAGACACCAGCTTCTCGCCCCACCAGAGCCCCTCCAGGCCTCACTGCTTAGCCGGCCTCAGGGATTAACCACCCCCCAACCCCACCCCTGCCCCTGTCTCACTTTTCGCTTCTTTTCTTCTTCCAATTTCAGCTTCTCCCGGGCCACAGCCTCTTGGGGGCCCCTCCTCCAGTCACTAGGCCAGCCTCTAGGGTCAGGAACTCCATGTCCAAATCCCAACACTTTCCCTTCATCTCTTTCTCCGCTTACCTGTAGGAATAGTATATGAGTACCGAGTCAGGAAAATTGGAGGAACCCTCTTTAGAAAACAGCTGTGCAGTACCAGGGAGCTATCTGACAAGGGCGGATGTCACAAGGCTGGTGCTCGGGATGGGAGTCAGCCTCAAAGCCCTGGCAGTCCGGAGTGCTGGCAAGCTCCTTCACCCTGTGGGTGCTGCTGGCTCCACAACTGTGGCATCAGGTTGACATCAGCTGACACCCAGGGGGACAACAGATCTCCACCTACCCTGCTCCTGTCAGCAGGAACACGGCTAGGGGGACAAGAGGCCACTATCTATTTATACTGCTGGGCATGTGTCCAGGTGGCCTCAAGGCAGATGACACCTTAGCTTCCCCCATGCTGTTGTCCTTATTCCTACCAGATCACACCTACTGCCACCTGACTCCAAGGTCAGAGGAACAGAGGAGAAGCCCCCATGGTAAAATTCTAAATGCCTGGGTTCAGTTCAGCCTCCTTTTGAAGCTACATTTAAGCTCAAACACTTTAAACACTTGCCTAAAGGAGTTGTGAAGGTTTTAAGTTATTGGGACCTGTGCCTGGGGCAGAGCCTCTGCAGCAAACATCCATGTTGTCTCCCGCCAGGCCCCACCTCAGGACTTCAGGAGCTGGGGAACACTGAGGAATTGGCATGTTGTGGGGAAAGAACAGGCTGGAATGATAGGGTAACAGAACCTAGGGCTTTCCAGCCAGGCAGAACCATATTCCTTCTAAAGAACGCTAGCAACCTAACACTTCCCTGCACTGGTCTCCTGGCAGAGGCTGCACCACACACCCTCCATGCCCCTCCTCACGCAAACTGACATCCCTAAGCACCACTGTTTCTCTCACTGCCCAGGATGCACAAAAGCACCATTCCGCATCCCCGAGGCAGCCAGGCCCCTTGGCCATTTCCAGAGCAACAACTATCATGATGCTCCAATATACCTGCATCTTCCAAAGTAATCTGCCATTACCCGTTCCTCTTTCGCCATCACCATCCAGGGCAAAACTTACTGAACTCAAGGATTTTCATGTCTCCTTTCCCCTTTGACTTTTTCCCTCACCCCCTCAGCACCTCACATGAGCACCCAGCAGACACCCAGAAGAACTGCACGCTCAGCCGGGTGTGGTGGTTCACGCCTGGAGTCCCAGCTACTCAGGAGACCCAGGTGGGAGGATCACTTGAGCCTGGGAGTTTGAGGCCAGCCTGGGCAACATAGCAAGACTCCATTTCAAAAAACAGGGATTTTTATAAAAGAACTGCATGCTTCCTTTCTCCTAAGACTTGACCCTCGCACCACAGAAAGAAGCTGCCAGCGCTCCTCTAGCCAGACAGCCTCCTCCTGCCAAGCCAGTCCCTGGGTGCCTCCCGCCTCCGTCCCACATCCTTACCAACTGCTGAATGCTGAGGAAGTCCATGGTCCCCCCTATTCCTCACACCCCTCAGTGAGAAGAGCTGAGCTGCTCAGCCCTTTATAGAAGCACCTGGGGGCGGGGAGGGAAGGACTGGCCCAGAGACTTGCGCCTGGGCCAGATGACTCTGGGACTCTGTCACACCAACCAAAATACCAGTCTGGGAATGCAGCCCACTGGGGACACGAAAAGGACCTGTTTGGAGCTGAGTTGGCTACATCCTCAGACATCCACTCCCGCATCTCTGCCATGCCCCACACCTACTCGGGCTATTTAACCAACAAGCTGCTAGTCCAGATTCAGGTGAAATGTGTCCCCTCTCCTTAGATGCCACTCGTAAAGAAAGCTCAGCCTGGACCTCCATGTTGTAGGGCCGTCTGCCTGCAAACCTGAAAGCCCAGCCTGGGAGGCTGAGCAAGGAGATCATAAGCTTGAGGGGATGGTCAGGAGGGCAGGAGCGGCCAGCCTATAGCCTCAGCCCTCCTGGTGGCCACACAAGGAAACTGTGACCTCCCAACCTGCAGTTTCAAGGATGCCCTTCCCTGTGCCCCTGGGCTCCCCTGCTCCTCCCCCAGCGCTCTGAGAGCCCATGGCAGCTACCCCAGCTCCAGAGCCAAGCTTGGTGCTTGTCCTCAGGCCTCTGGAAGTCCTTTCCGCCCCTCCACAGGTTCCTACCAGACGCTCTCCAGGGAAGGAACAGGCCTCTCCACAGGGAAGAGGAGACTGATCTGCGCCAGGTCCCAGGATGGAATAGTAACCATGAAATCTAGCCACAGAGCAATGTGTCTCAAGCCACCAATCAGCTTTCCTAATTCTCCTCAGGAAGCCAGGAACACCCTTCACCCAGCTGGACCTTGAACTCCACCTTGGCCTTTGCAAGGAAATCAGATAGCCAGTAAATAAGACCACAGAATCGGAGCAACCTGAGCAGAGATGACCAGGGCACAAGCAGGGAGAACTGTGGCCAAGGACGGTCACAAGTCCCAAACGGCTGCCCAGCTCCCAGAGCTGGCCTCTGGGAAGGGCTTCTGCATTTTCAGAGAACTCAAGGAAGGGCAGAGCTTTCTTAGAAAACTCAGCTTTGTTTTTTTTTTTTTTTAATTTTGAGACAGTCTCACTCTGTTGCCCAGGCTGGGAGTACAGTGGCGTGATCTCGGCTCACTGCAACCTCTGCCTCCTGGGTTCAAGCAATTCTCCTGCTTCAGCCTCCCAAGTAGATGGGATTACAGGTGCCTGCCACTATGTCCAGCTAATTTTTTGTATTTTTAATTAGGTTTTACTGTGTTGGTCAGGCTGGTCTTGAACTCCTGACCTCAAGTGATCTGCTGGCTTTGGCCTCCCAAAAGTGCTGGGATTATAGGTGTGAGCCACTGCGCCCAGCCAAAAACTCAGTTCTTAGGCTAAATTTAGGGTGCTTTTTCAGACAAAGATGTTCCTTGCTTTTTTTTTTTTTTGAGACGGAGTTTTGCTCTTGTTACCCAGGCTAGAGTGCTCACTGAAACCTCCACCTCCGAGGTTCAAGCAACTTTCCTGCTTCAGCCTCCCGAGTAGATGGGATTACAGGCATGCGCTACCACACCTGGTTAGTATTTGTATTTTTAGTAGAGACAGGGTTTCACCATATTAGCCAGGTTGGTCTCGAACTCCTGACCTGAGGTGATCCACCCTCCTCAGTCTCCCAAGTGCTGGGATTACAGGCATGAACCACTGCACCTGGCCTACTTCCATGTATAGATCCATACATTTATACTTGATCTTAACCAAAAGGCTGAAAGGCAATCACATTCTACAGGTGTGTCCTGTGTGAAGAGGGTCCCACTGTGGACACAAGCAGCACTCTCCTGTCAGCAAGCTGTGCTCTGCTGCATGGCAGAGAACTTGGGTCTGCAGAACTCAACCACTCCCTATCAGGGAGGAGTTGGTTCTCTCAAAGAAGAAAAAAAAGTACATATATAAAACAAAGGATCAGGATCTAGAATATAAACACTCCCATAAATCAAAAAGAAGCATTTCTAAAATTGGCTTGGGCAGGCAGCTCACAGAAGACACAGGTGCTCAAACCAGCAATGAAAAATGAAAGCCACAGCCCTTTTTCCCATCGGACTGTTAAAATGAATGAAATCATGGTATGTGTGAAGGGCTGATGAGGAGCTGGGGAATCAGGCCTCCCCGAGGCTGGTTACCACGTGCCAGGCACTCTCTCGAGGGCTCACCCAGTGCACACTCACCTCATCCCACGATGACTCTGAGGCAGGTCCTATGAGAACCATTCTCATTGCAAAAGAGAAAACGGAGGGGCAGACAGCTAAAGTGACTTTTACCAAGGGCATTCAGCTAGAAAGCAGCTTGTCACATAGTCCCTATTTTCTTCTAATACTTACATAGTTTTGTGTTTTTATATTTAGATCTTTAATCTTGTAATTTATCTTGGTGTGTGGGATGAGATAAGGATATAACTTTATTTTTTTCCAAATGAATAGATGTCTCATATGAACTAATTTAGAATATGATCATCTGTCCAGGCTTAAATACTTTCAGCCACACCAAATCTACTCCCTCGCTTCCACAGTGACCAAACTGGGGCTCTTCCCGGGTCATCTGGCCTCAGTTCCCCGCCCAGTAGCATGGATGCTGACCAACGCAGGGGCTTGGAGAACTGGTCTGTGTACCCTTGAAAGGCAGCTGGAGGCAGGGTGCCGGCTCAGCTGGATAGCAGGTCCTGCAGGTCACTGTTGCAGGGCAGCAGGTCACATGCTAGCCGTGCCTTTCGGTCCCGGACGGCCTTCAGGGCTGGACTGTGTTGCAGGAGGAGGGAGCAGATGTCTCCGTGACCCCTCTCAGCAGCCTGCAGAGAGAGAGGCCGGAATCAAAGGGCATACCCCACACTGGGCTCTGCTCTTTCTTGTTCCACCTTCAGGGACTTCTTCCTTCTAAAAAAGGGGCCTCATGGAAATAGAGACACAGCTGTTTGAGTAGATTTCTCTTAATTCCCACCAAATCCCAATGACTTTATACATATTTGTGGAGTATCCCAGTGCCATTCTCGCAGTTAGCCTCGGCTTTTCTTTATTGTGTCCTTTGCCAGATTGGCCATTCTTGTCTTTGGCCAAACCTACACATTAAAAACAAGGCCTGGCGCGGTGGCTCACGCTTATAATCCCAGCACTTTGGGAGGCCAAGGTGGGTGGATCACCTGAGGTCAGGAGTTCAAGACCAGCCTGACCAACATGGAGAAAACCCATCTCTACTAAAAATACAAAATTAGCCAGGCATGGTGGCGCATGCCTGTAATCCCAGCTACTGGAGAGGCTGAGGCAGGGGAATCACTTGAACCCGGGAGGTGGAGGTTGCTGTGAACTGAGATCATGCCACTGCACTCCAGCCTGGGCAACAAGAGCAAAACTCTATCTTAAAAAGAAATAAATACATACATACCTAAAAAAATAAAAACGGGTACAGCACCTTGTATCTCCAGGCATCACTCACAAACCTGCATATATCACCTACAGGGAGTTGCGCTTTGTGGGCACAGGAGGCACCAGACACGGCACCCACCCTTTGGGAACTTTTGTTTATTTTCTTATATTTAAAATTTTTTATCTTTATGTTTTAGAGACAGGGTCTTACTCTGTTGCCCAGGCTGGAGTTCATAGTGCAATTATAGCTCACTGCAGTCTGCAATTCCTGGGCTCAAGTGATCCTCCTGCCTCAGCCTCCCAAGTAGCTGAGATTACAGCCACTGCACCTCCTCTACACTTGGCTAAAGTTTAAAAAATATATATATTTATTTTGAATTTTAAAAAATAGAGACAGGGCTAGGTGTGGTGGCTCACGCCTATAATCTCAGCACTTTGGGAGGCCGAGGTCGGCAGATCACTTGGGGTCAGGAGTTCAAGACCAGCCTGGCAACATGGCGAAACCTCATCTCTACTAAAAATACAAAAATTAGCTGGGCGTGGTGGTGTGCACTTGTAATTCCAGCTACTCAGGAGGCTGAAGCACGAGAATTGCTTGAACCTGGGAGGCAGAGGTTGCAGTGAGTCGAGATCATGCCACTGCACTCCAGCTTGGACGACAGAATGAGACTC